GCCAATTTTATTTTGGGGGTTCCGCATTATGAATATAATATAATGGGCCTCAAAACCCCATAATTGTTAAGCGCCCTATATTAAGGTTAAGCTCTGGGTTTGAGTTTGGCTCGGATTTGTTTCTTCGGGGTCCTCTTCTGGCAGCTTTGGCTACTTGGGGGGTACATTCTGCGCGGGCTTTAGCGCCTGAAGCAAGGAAATACGACAGAAATGCAACGACTGGAGCTTTGTCAAGTGCAAGAGCTGTGTTTAGGGTTTGGGGTTTAGGTTTTAGGGCTTAGAACTGGGAGGGCCACTTTTGGCCCAGTTCCGCTTGGTGACTCAATACCCCGCGGACGCTCGACACTCGACCCTCCATGGCATGCCTGACACCATACCTCATCTGGTTTCTCGGGTCTTCAAGCTTTAGGGGTGTAGGGTTTAGGCACAGGATCGTTAGATTTTCAGCTTTATCACCGATGGGGCGGTCTTAAGATAGGACATCCCCGGTTGGTAATTTACAAAGCCTGCTTAAACGCTAGCTACTGATTTCCGGAACCTCGAAGCGCCCCCGAAACCCTAAGCGTTGAGCCCGGGAGCCTGAAACCTTGGCGTTCTTCTAATTGGCTCTTTAGACTTTAACTTTTTGGGTTTCTATATGAACCATTATAATATTTTAAGGAGGCTAAAATTTAACTTTTAGGAGGGGTTCAGAAGTCAGCCAAGAAACCTTAAACCAAAAAGCGGACACCTGAAAGTCCAATTTCTTGAACCTCTCGGCCTTTCATCGTTCACCCCAAGGTTCCTAAAGCTTTTTGCTCAATGTGGTGAAGCGCTGTTATGAGTTCAGTTTTCAGTTTGAATACACCCCCTGCAAGACCCTTTCGCCCAACCCGAGACTATTCCCTTATAAGCCCTAAACTAAAGCTTAAAGTCCAGAACCCTAAACTCTAAGCCTTTAAAGCTCTAGAGCCTTCAAGCCTCAAGCCTCAAGCCGCAAAACCAAGCCCAAGCCCAAGCCCACAAAAAGTTCCTTACAGGACTCTCCCTCCATACGGCCGCCTGGGGCAGATCTCCACCCTGCAGCGGGCATCTGAGTTACAGGGCCTGGGTTTAGGGTTTGCGGGTGTATAGGTTGTAGGGCTTTCAAAAGGGCTTAACGGGGTTTGATGGAGTTTTCAGGCTTCGAGAAGGGTTGGGTAGGGATGCTTAGGATTTGCCAGAGCTGTTGGGCTTGCATACGGGCTGAATTGGCAAAACTGGCTTTTTAGGTTTTACACGAATTTTGCTAGACCTCGGCGGATCAGATGTAAATAAAGTTTATGCTTTGACATTTGAGGGCGATTGAAATCCTACGGGCTGAGATTTCCCTGTCGAAGAGTCGGGGCCTATCTTGGCTTGGGGTTTTGGGGGTTAGAGTTTCGGGTTTAGGCCGGAGGTTTGTAGGGAACTGGGAGAGGAGGCATACCGGGCCGAAAGCAGAAACCTCAGGCACCCTTGTGGCATGTCGGTCGAGGAGTTAGGGTTCAGGGTTAGGAGTCAGGCCCTGATGAATAATTTCGGAGCCCCAATGTAAGATCCCCTCAAAAGACTCATAGTCTCAAGAACCCCTTCCCCAGAGACCCCACAGCCCTGAATTAAGGAACACTCCGCAAACAATAATCGGAACCCCACTATGACATTATGATTTAAGGTGTGCTTTTTGGTGGGGCGTATAAACAATCTCTGGGTATTTGCGAATTGGCTAAACCCTAAACCCTCGACCCTAAACCAAACCCTATATAGACCCTAAACCCTGAGCCCTAGAGACCCCCAACATCCCTCAACCCTAAAACCTAAACCCAAGCCCACTTGGCGATGAGGTCCTGCGAAACCGAATGTTCTATCCTGCGAGCACGGACGAGTCCGGGCCTCGCACGTCGACGCCTGTTAGGGTATAGGGTTTAGGGGTTTAGGGTTCGGGGATTAGGGTTTAGGGTTTGGGGTTTAGGGTTTAGCGTTTGGGGTTCAGGGTTTAGGGGTTTAGGGGTTTAGGGTTTGGGGTTTAGGGTTTAGCGTTTGGGGTTTAGGGTTTAGGGGTTTAGAGGCTTAGGGTTTAGGGTTTAGGGCAGGTGGGTTGCAAGGGGATTTAGAAGCGCGGTTTGTAGGTCGGCCTTTGGGATGTTTTATGTTCCCCTATGGGGCTTCAGAGGATCTTATGTGCGAATATTTTCAGAGACTTTACACGGCCAAGTCAGGTTTTCGTACAGGAGTGCTATGAGAGCTAAGCTATTCAAGCTTTTGGGCCTTCTCTGGGTTACCGAAAGGGTCTCCAGAACGGCTCGGGGCTTAGGTCTGGGGCTTGTATGCAGTTCAGAAGGCTTCATCCGGGTTTCACTAGGAGTGATGATATTTGACAAAGCTCCCAGATTCCTATATCTTTTCCTCTTGGTAACAAGGAGGTTTGTCGAACGTCGTATTGACCTATTGGGTTGTGATTTCTGCTTCGGGTTGAAAAGTCTCAGAGGCAGTAGCATCGAGTCGCGGCTGGCATTTCCAAAGACAGTGTGGCCTTCGTCACTACTTGAAGAAAGAGTGGATGAACAACATGGCGCGGCGTGGGTGGTTTGCTTCAAGAACCAGTTAATCCGAGTGTAGGGTTTAGGTTTTAAGGTTTCTGTTGCACTTGCACGGTCTTATATACCGGCTTTACCGGATTGACACTTGAATGCAGGGGCAAGCACTGGATCGCTAAACCAACTCTCAGCGGCAACATGGAGCAGCAATGAACAAAGCAAGTCTCAGGGATGCTAATTGTGATACAAAGAGCCTCAAGACCAAGTTAGCCTGCTCTTCCAGGAAACTCGCTGCGCCGTTGAAAGAATATTGCCTTTCATCAGATGCAAGGTCCTACCCTAAAGGGCAGAAGTGGGGTTATCGAGGATTATGAGGGAATCATTAGTATATTAGTATGAGGATCCGGCCGTTTATGATCTTTACAAATCATGGAAAACTCAGTTATTACGCTAAACCCCTAAACCCATAACCCCTAGACCCTAAGTTATGGAGGATTGTAGCTCCTCCTATTGCTGAAGCCCTCCTATTGCTGAAGACGAACTTGAGGCTATCGAAGTTTCTGGAGAGCCCCGCCGACTACCTGACTGAGTCAGGCCAGGATGCTTCCCTGCGGGTGCATCGGATTCCAATTTGGGGTTTAGGGTTTTGGGTTTCAGGGGTTTAGGGATGCTTAGGGTCTGTGGGACTTGGGACAGGAGGCTTCCCTGCCTCATTTGCCCGGCCCGCTCTGCTGACCGGCCCGCATCCATCCATCCATCCATCCATCCCAAACCCTAAACCCTACAGTTCAAGCAGGGCACCCCTCACCAGAGAACCCCAAGGAGAGCTAAGGTCCCGAAAGCTGGAATATGCAAAGGGTCCTAGAGGTACTGTTACTGGGCTTTGGAGTACCATACTTTAAGACTTTTTTCTAAATGGAACCATTATGAACCCTAAACCCTAAACCCTAAAGCCCTAAACCTGAAAGTGTATATACTTTTTTTCTCTCTGGTTACTGAGAAGCCCAGGTTATGGGGGATACTTTAAGGGTCTCCTTTATGGGATCTTTACGGGTCCCTTTAAGGGCTCCTTTAAGGGATCTATGTTATGGGGGATACATACCAGTAATTCCAGAAAAGTTACAGAAACCCCACATTCTACTATGTAGGTACTTAGGACCCTTTGGAATATCCTAGATCCCTCCACCCCACAGCATGAAAGCCTTCATGCAGGGGTCTCAAGGGTTTTAGTGTAGGAGTTTAGGGGCGCTGATAGTCAACAACCTTACTTCCTGTAGTTCCTGGACGGTGCAAAGCTCTGCGAAACGCTACTGAATTATCCCGGCCGTGAAAAATCCGTGCAAGCCCTTGGTTGTTCTCCGGCCCGTTAAGAATCCATGCAAGCCCAAAATCGTTGCCTGAAACTTCAAAGTTTCTTCACCCGCAAAGCACAAGGCCGTAAACTCTAATCCCTCATCTAAGCAAGAATAGCCCCAATGACAAATGAAATCCAGGAAGACAGAAGAAAACCTGCAATAAACCAGAAGACCCATACGACCCATAATATCACATCAAATCCATGAGCACCCATAAACAAGACACATGAAACCTCAGAGACCGAAGCCCAAAGACAGCCGCAACCGCCAGCAGCTCGGCTCGAAGCTGCATTCAGCCCGTGGAGCATTGATCAACTACAGGGTATTAGGGTGTTGGGGTTTAGGGTTTAGGGTTTTGGGGTCCTTAGATTAGGTAGTAGGGTACCAGGACCAGGGACAGGGATCCCCCAACAGTTCCGCAGGGCTTGGTGCATGGTTTAGGGCACTGTAGGGTCTTATTCCAGCCATTAAATAGGCCGGTCTGTTGCGGCTTTCGACTCAGCAAGCACCAAACTCCAGAAATCGAGCCATATTTGTTTGGCTACAATGAACTTTACTACGATGCCCTGTACGCCCAAAAATCCACTGCCCTAAAGCCCCAAGCCCTTGAACCTAACACCTCAGACACTACAACAGGCCTATTACGTGAATCCTCAAACCTGCACATCCTGAACCCCATAGCCCAGTTTCCCTTGAAGCAGTAGCCCTGGTCATTGTCACAGCTCTCATAATAGCAACGAGAAGTGATTTTACCGTAACTATTGCAAGACTAGAAACCCCAAGACGTCAACACCCAAAACCCTCAACCCTAAGGCCTAAACCTAAACCAACCCTACACCCCGAACTCCGCAAGCCCCGAACCCCAAACCCTAAACCGTTGCACCTTCAAAACAAAGAACCCTAGACCCCGAACCCCAAACTCTAGACCCTGAGCCAGAAACTCCAGACCCTGAGTTGCAAATAAACCCTACTACACCCCAGACCCTAACCCTCAAACCCTAAAGCCTGAACCCGTAAACCCCTCAAGCCCACACCGAAGACCCTGATCTGCAACCAAAGGGCACCAATCCTGGCCCTAAACCCTCAAACCGTAAACCCTAAATCCTGAGCCATGCCCCTCCACAGCTATGGAACCAGCGGGGGTCTTTCCGTCGCCTCGCGCCCCAGGGCTACGTTGAGCGTTTATGTTTAAGAAGTTAGGCAGTCTCAACATAAACAAGCATGTGTCTTGATACTCATGTCTCGATGAAGCAGCAAGCAAACAAGCCATTCAGTAGATAAACAGTATACATACACACATATATATATATATATATATACACATATATACACACATTGAGGTGAAGGTATGTTATGTTGTATACACATATCTATGAATGTGTATGTATACATATCTATATGTGTATGCATACATACAAACATACATTACATATATATATATATATACACATACATTTGTACACAAAATGCATTTATGTATTCATTGCCAAGAATTCTGAAGTGTCTGTCGTCTGTTGAACAAACGCCACAGAATGCGGACCTCCTGGGGTGGCGCTTTTTGTATGTTTGAGGCTAGATGAGGCTAGTATTGCTGTCTCAAAAAGGAACCCAGGGGTCTTGCTACAAGAGGGCAGTCCTTCGTTTCCTGTTTCACACCAGTACTTAGACTGAAAGGGCAAGGTATTCCCGAAGTACCCGCATTGGTGTTGTTTTGCAATCAACTTGTGAGCATGACCTGCTGGCTAAGTTGTTTAAGCTTGCCTGCAAGCCCCTTAACGCTAGACGCGCCCCGTAACCCAAATTCCTAAACCCGAAGACTCTGGATCTGTTTCCTGTAGGGTGGCTGCACATGCCTCCCCAAAGCCTTGCACAAAGTTACAAATCTCTTAGGCCCACGAAGACCGCCGCCTTTCAGGCTTGCTACCCTAAACCCTTACCTTAGCTTGCCATCACCTACTTTTTGGGCAGGTTCTTGCTTTGAGCCCATATATAGAGTTTAGAAGGACTCTGCCAAAAACCCCCGGCTTTGGTAGGTTTAGATAACCCTCAGTCCAAAAACAGAACCGGGGAACTGCCGATAGCCTACGCATGCCCTTACTTGGAGGCCCTTTTGACTTAGTAAGTCTACTTAGTATCCCCTATAAACCCTATTATAATCCCCCAAACCCACTTTACTAACCCTACTTACTAAGTCAAAAGGGCCTCCAAGTAGTTCTAGCCTCCTGAAAAACCTTCCTGATCCTGCAAAAAGCAGTACCCAAAATGCGGGGCTTAGGGCTTCGCTCCCATTGGGAATACACCTGAGCTTCGGATAAGTTCCTGAGCGTCTAAGCCCGCAACGCCTCAGATCAATCGGGTTTAGGATAGCCCAACTTAAAACCCTAAACCCTAAATCCTACACCCTTAAGAGAGAAGTCCTTCAGATTGTCTGCAGATTGTTGTGTGTGGGCTTTTCGGTTGATGGTCTGCGGGTTAAACCTGGGGGTTTGTTTTGGAGTAGAAGTCGACCTTCAACCATTTTTCTGCAACATAGCGTTGCAAGTCAAGGGCATGAGGCACCTTAAGAACTCGAACATCGCCAATACACGCCCTAAACCCTAAACCTTGTTCACCCCCAATCCCTGGACCCTATAAGCCCTAAACGCCGGAATCCCTGGAGCCTAACCCTAAGGCTACGGGGCCTTGCAGCGTGTCTTCAACGACAAGCTGCGGGAATGGCACTGGCAGCGAAGTACCGGCACGATGTTTCAGGTCCCTCGGTCTTGAGGTCTTTAGGGTGAGGGATCTACGGGTTTATAGGGGTTTAGGGGACAGTGTAGGGCGTATGGTTTTGAGCCAGATTACGGGGCCTTGTCGAAGTCCTTTCACAGATGCGAAGGGGTTTACAATTGGACGTCTCTGTGAGCACGCACGTACACATACACACATACCCACGTACACACATACATACACACACATACATACATGCATGCATACATACCGACATGCATACCTGCATGCATACATACATGCATGTATACCGTATGTATGTATGTATGTATGTATGTACGTACGTATGTATGTATGTATATTAGTGTAATGTATGTATGTATGTATGTATGTATGTATGTATGCATGCTGCATGCATGTATGTATGTATGTATGTATGTATGTATGTATGTATGTATGTATGTATGTATGTATGATGTATGTATGTATGCATGCATGTATGTATGTATATATGTATGTATATATGTATGTATGTATGTATGTATGTATGTGCTTCTCTGTGCATAAATATGTTTCTTCCAGACATATAAGTATACCTAAATATTCATATATAATTGTATAGCGTAGGTGTACATGTATGCGAGCACACACACATGTATATATATATATATATATATGTACATATATACATGTTTGTATATGTGTGCGTGTATGTGTACGTGTATGTGTCCATGTGTATGTGCATGTGTACGTGTATATGTACGTGGATATGAATGCACATGTGTATGTATGTGTGTATGGGTGTGACAGATATCGAGGTATGTATGTGTGCATGTGTGTGTGTGTGTGCGCGCATTTTGTTGTACGTACGTACGTATGTCCGTATGTGCAGTGTGTGCTGGTATATGCATGCGTACACGTTACCAGTAGCTTATGTCTCGTTGCAGGACCGTGTAACTGTGGTCGCCGACCGCCCAATCCCCAAACCCAGCTGAGCGCAGCTTAAGGCCAGACTACACCTATCAACACCGTCAACGAACGATTTTTGTGCGCAAGGGACGCCCCCTCCAGAGACTGACTTGATAAACATGCCACGGGAAAGGGAGATCCGATCAAACGCCTGCACCCTAAAACCCAGATAAACCCTAAAACCCTAAACCCTAAACCTAAAGATCCAGAGCCCCAAGACGCCGGAACCCCAACCACCGAAACCCCGAAGCACAAGGAACTCCAAATCCCAGAGCAGTGACGGAAGATCCCAGACCCAAAAATCTCGAACGCGAAACTCGAGTACAGGTCTACAAAGGCCCTGAAGGGGTTACGGTATAGTATTCCCTTTTGAGTATGTAGGGTTTTTAAGGCTATGTTGTTGCTAATTTATTCAGACCTTTATGGAAGTTTCCGACAATGGGGGACCGAATCTAGCACCCTAAATAGTAGGATCCTTATTACAAGGATCCCAAATAAGGTACCCCTAAGTTTCGGAAACTCTGTTGTATCGCCAATGCAACACCCAAGGTCAGGGGAACCCAAAGTCGCCTCCGAACGACCTGCACCAGAACCCGAAGACCCTAGACCCTGAACCCAGCAACCTGAGGCTCTCTGGACCATCTGAGGAATAGAAAGAGGCCCTGAACACAAATATCAACAACGCGATTCTGCCTCGCCTCTCACCTCAACAGAAAGACAAGATCCTTTGGATTATTAAGGCTCCTATATTATGGTACCCTTATAGATCCCCTATAGTAACCCTTATAGACCCCTTTACAAGGCTAACCAAATAAGTTGCAGGTGTGGCAGCCCCCTGGTCGGTTCCTCAGAGTTGATGGGGTTCGCCTTTGGCTAACGATCACGCGGTTTAGGGTTTAGGGTTTAGGGTTTAGGGTTTAGGGTTTCGCCCATCACTTCGCTTCGACAAGCTGCTTCGTCAGGCGATCTTGAGTCGAAGTTTGAGGTTGAGGATTGGTGGCTGAGTTTTGTTGTTTTGCGCTTGGGATTGTTGGGACGGACAGGGCAAAGTGATGAAGGATCCGAAGCAGCCGTTGTGATGTGCTTCGAGGTTTGAGGCCCCCGACGTTGCGGGTTTGCCCCAAAACCCCTAAACCCTAAAACCCTAAACCCTAAACCCTAAAATTCCTAAACCCTGGAATCCGAAATCATAATCACCACCTGTTGAGACTACTTGAAAGCTTTTAAGGGCTGGGTAGGTCGGCAGCCTTTAAGCAACCATGCCACAATCAAAAAGATTAACCTTTTTGGGGCTCGGGTGTCCAGAACCTAGAATTCTTAAAGAAACCCTTACTTGGGGGTCAGGGGACTTAGTAAGTAGTTTGTACGTAGAATTATAAGTACCCTAAAAGAGACCCTAATTGGGGTTATGGTACTTATAAGTCCCCAAAATGACGAGTTACTAAGTCCCCCGACCCTCCAAGTACACCCCCTTGAAGGAACCCTTCAAAGGGACTCTGGCTCCGAAAGGCGTCATCTTCGGCTGCCTCAAGAAAGAGCACTATGCGCACGGAGTCTCGTCTAGCAGAGGTTACTTGGAGGGTCGGGGGACTTAGTAACTGGTTATTTTAGGGACTTATAAGTACCATAACCCCAATTAGGGTCCCTTTTAGGGTACTTATAAGTCTACTTACTAACTACTTACTAAGTCCCCCTAAACCCTAAACCCTATACTTCCCTTATAGAGCCCTTTAAAGGAGCCCTTAGAATTCCCTTTAAAGGAGCCCTTACTAAGTCCCCTAAAGACCCCCGAAGTAGGGTTTGGGGCCTTTAAGGTTCTACGCGGCTGACACAGGGTTCTCATAGGTCCTATCAGCTTGTTGCAAGATTCCTGGTGAGGCTTCCAGTGAATGGCGTTGGGGGTGCTGTTTCGGGTTTAGGCTTCAAGAGAACTTTGCACGGTTCAGAAATTGGGTTTAGGATTTAGGGGTTTGGGATTTGTTGTGTCGTCCTCTTGCTAATTGATGTTGCTGTCGACGTTGTTGATCCCAGATAGCCCCCTCCATTTCACCATTGGTACATCGTTCTAGAGGCAAGGGTAGCTGGTGCCTATCGCCACCTTTGGTGTGATCCCTGCTAAGCTCCTTTGCTTCTCCATAGAGTAGAGTCGGGCAGAATCGAACCTAGTCCCGCAACTCTCAGTCCTAGCTTCAAACCGGCTGACAATGTTCTCTAGAGCACATTCGGATAGCCCGTCTCACAACCTACGAGAACCCTAAACCCTACCTATAGTCTCCATTGTTGTTGTTCCTTTTTTTGGCTTAACCAATTTTATATTAAGGATCCCAAAAGGTAACCCCGAAAAGGAACTACAATGGAGACTATACGTAAACCCTAAACCCCAATTCCCCAAAGCTCGGGCCTCAAGTATCTGAGGTTGGATCCTAACCCGAAATCGCTAAGCCATGCTTCAGCCGCTCCGCGCCCTTTCATCACCTAGACCCTAAACCCTACATCATAGATGTGTGGTTGTCAAAATTAGGGTTCCTTTTTGGGTGAGTATTATACTACGGCAATTAATATTTAGGGTGCCCAAAACAGGACCATAATTTTGACAACCACCCAAATGAAGGACTCTACAGAACCCAATTCCATCGTATACTTTAAAAATTGAAAAGCCTTTAAAAAAAACAGTTCCCCAACCTGAAGCCCTAATCAGGCCCGAAGCCACGACAAACTGACGCGAAACCCCACTAGACCTTGAATCCTTACCCCCTACACCCTAAACCGTACCATGGGCCCAAAAGTAGTTCTTTTTTTGGGGTTCATACTTAGAAATCGATAAGGTAGTGTCACAAAGGAACTACTAGGGGGCCTACGGGTAAAGCCTGCGAGGCCGAAAAGTTCCAGCTTGGGAAGACTGGGGCTTCGGTGACCGCAAAGTTTCTTGGCAAGCAAGTTTTCAATTGCTATCTTCAGGTTTACAGTATAGTAGAAGCCAGAAAGTTGGAACATGATTGTCCTCACACCCTGGATGAAAAGCATAGCAAATCCCCGCACTAATCATCCTAAATCTATGTTCCAACTTTCTGGGGTTCACTGTATAGGGATTCGTCATCACTCGACAAGACGAGCCTTACTGTGGAGAGCTTTTGGGTTCATGGTTCTGGGTTTAGGGCAGCTCATTGCCATCTAGAGTCTAGAGGGAAGACTTGCACTAATCAACACCTAAACCCTTAGCCCTCCACCTTTCCAGTGTCCCACTTTGTCTTGTCTGCTGTAGGATTTCGGTAATTAGAACAGACGGATGGTCTGCGTGGAATGTCCCCACAGTTTTATGCTGAGACCAAAACCCTCACACTTCACGCTCCGCTTCCCTGGAGCCACCCTGCACCCAGAGCTTCCAAACAACCCCAGAGAACTAAATACCTCTTATCCCCGAAATAAGAGGGGCTTCAATAGTATGGTTTGAGGTATACTCCTTAATTAAGGGGTACTGGGCTGTCTGGGTCGCCCTTGCTTCAGGATGCACAGCCAGGGCCCCACTCAGATTCCATGGTGTTGGAAGGCTCGCTCGGAAGCTACTCCACAACCGCTGAAATCCGAGAAACCCGGCGAAAGCCTTGAAACCCGACACCTGAAGCCCTACAGGTAAAGCGTCCAAACCCTAAATCAAACTGAGACATCAATTCTTTTTCCGGACGCCCTTTGCCCACACCTCCACGCAAGACCTGTTGTTTCTCAGTGGAGCAATAAGTCCACTGGACGGCTTATCCTGCCTGCGACTCTGCCTGCAAGCTCTACTTCACCTTTATGATTGCCTCAAGTTTAAAGAACCAGGAATCACCATTCCAACTCCACAAATCTATCCCTTAAACCCTAAACCGGAAGCCTTAGTCAGAACCCTCAATTCTAAACCGTTCTATGCCCTACATGTATTCTGAACCTTAAACTCTAAGCCCTTTTAAGCCCTAAACCGGAAGCCTTTAGTTCGAGGCCCAAACTTTAAGCCCTTTAAGCCCTAAACCGCAAGCCTTTAGTCTGAACCTTAAACTCTAAACCCGTACAGCAGAAGCCAGAAAGTTGGAACATCATTACCCTCATGCCCTTAAGGTAAAGTATAAGGGATCCTAGCACTAATCCTCCTAAAGCCATGTTCCAACTTTCTGGCTTCTACTTTAGGTCCCTTGTCGCCTCGTGATCCGGGCCTTGGCCGGACGATGGATCCTCTGGAAAGCCATGCAGCAGCGCCAGGACTGAGGGCTGCGGGATGGGCGCTATGTATATATATATATATATATATATATATATATATTTTATTTATTTACGTATTTATATCTATCTCTCTTTCAGTCTATATATAAGTTTAAATATAAGTATAAATATAAATATAAGTATAAATATAAACATTAATATAATTATAAATATACATATCAATATATACATATATGTATATATACATAGGGACACAGATGTAGCTGAGATTGCAGAGGTAGGTCCGGGTTCAGGGTGTAAGGTTGTGGTTTCGACTTCAGGGTGTATAGGTTTTTGCAACTAAGTGAGGTTCAGCAGGCATATGTATACGTGCGAAAAGTATATAGTTATAGTTACATGCACGTACGGATGTATGCATGTATGTCTGCATGCAGGCGTGCATGCATGTACTTGTGAAGCTGCGACTGCGGTCGAGGGCCATGTGAATCTCGGTCTCGCGATGAAGATCCAACGTCAAGAAGTTTTCGGTTTAAGGTTTAGGGTTCCCTAAACCCTAGACCCTTGACGGTTTTGGGTTTTCGGTTTAGGGTTTAGGGTCAAAGGGGTCTCACGGCCACGGGCTGAGAGGTTGAGGTTGAGGTCGAGGGCCAAGGCCTCATGGGGAAACAGCCGGAAAGAGAACGGCGCTTTCTGGTTTTGTATCAGATTATACTATATCGTATTCAATCGTATTATATATACTGAAGTTTGTCAAACTATAGTGTACTATGTTATAGCAGATTAATTATGTTTTAGGTTTCGGATGTGTAGGTTTAGAGCCGAGCACTGAAACGGTGGGTGTTCGCAAACCCTCGGCTCACCCTAAGGCTCCATGTACCGATATAGTATATACTTAGGCCTTAAAGTGCCTATACAGGGACCCCTTCAAGGCTCAAGTATCTACTATAAAGGTACATGGAGCCTGTGGGTCAAGGAGAGTTGGATTTTGGCAGATGGGGATGACAGCCACCTCTTCAATGCGTCGCCTGTCAGTACTTGGAGGGTCGGGGGACTTAGCAACTGGCTATTTTAGGGACATAAGTACCCTAAAAGGGACCCTAGTTGGTGTTATGGTACTTGTCAGTCCCTAAAATAACCAGTTACTAAGTCCCCCGACCCTCCAAGTAGTTGGGGCGACAGTTTTTGTGTTCGAGAGTTTAGGGATTTAGGATTTCGGGTTTGAGGATGTCGAGCGTAGTGCTTAAGCTTCACGTGGGGTTGAGGTTTCACGTCGTGAACCAGATGCCTTATATCCATCCTTAACGCGTATAATTCTTAACCATTAAGGCGGCTCTATTTACAGACGATCTCAGGGATCCCTAAATTTAAACCTCAATTAACTGCCTGATTCCCCAAAAGCCCGTAAACCCCCAAGCCCACGACTCACGACATTAGTTAGAAGCCGCAAGCCCTAAAGCCCTAGCCTAAACACCCCTATTTGAGGCTTTTGAACCAGCCCCCGAAAATACCTAGACATCGCGAACCCTCAGGGCCCTTGAGGCCAAGAAACTCGGAAAGCCTATAAACCTTGAACCTTAAACCGTAGCCCTAAACCCCTAAACCCTCAACCCTAAACCCTAAAAGCCGGGGCCATAGATCCTAAAGGCCCTCACCCCTTTCAAGTACTCCGCAAGGTTCTAAAATGGCCTTGACGCCTTAAACCCTGAAAGCCCTGTTTCAAGCGTCAGGTTCCCTAAACCCTAAACCCTAAACCCTACTTGAGGGTTCATGGGAGTTAGTAACTGCCGTTATAAATAAGGTAACCAGACTAATGACTGTGCTGGTAACTCCAATTAAGGTAGTTATAGCTTTACTTACTAAGTCCAATGATCCTGCAAGTCGACCCTAAACCCTATAGATCCCTTTAAGGAACCCTATAGATCCCTTTAAGGAGCCCTTTAAGGTTTCTTGGCGCCATGGACTTTTACAACTTCGACGCCCTGGAGCCGGAGGGGAGTTTTCCGAACCTGCCTCTTGGCTCAGTTTAACGTCTTAGGGGTAAAAAGATGAGGGTGCAGGGTTTTGGGATTAGGCTTGAAGGATTACGGTTTGCGGTTTGGGGGCTTGGGCTTACTTGGAGGGTCGGGGGACTTAGTAACCGGTTATTTTTGGGACTTATAAGTACCATAGCTAGGGTCCCTTTTTTTATAAGTCTACTTACTAACTATTACTAAGTCCCCTGACCCCCCAAGTAGGGTTTAGGGATGAGGGTGTATGGTTTAGGCAGACCCTCAACCTTCCAACCCTAGTTTGGGTTAAGCTAAGTTTAAGGTGCCCACATACTGTCGGGGCCTCCATAAAGAGGGTAGGGTTCTTTTAAGGGTTCTGGGGTTTTCGCATGTGCTCGATATAGTACAGTTAAGTTAGCATGAAGATACCGAAGTGATAACGTCTAAGGAAAACTGGGGATTGTAGTTGTAGGGTGTTAAGGCTTCGGATGTAGTACTTGGGTTCAAGCCACTAGGATGCAGGGTTTGGGTGGTTCCTGGTCTTTAGATTTAGATGTCACTGTTTAGGGTTGTCTTGTTCTGATTGATGCAACTCCTGTAGGACCTTTCAATCCTTGCGACTTTCTGAAAACCGTACCTCCGAGATGACCCCAAAATTCAGCGTAATGGGGCCCTGAACCTCATGGGCCCGAAAGCCTTGGATTCTTGGACCGTAACCAAACAGTACATCCGTTGGCCTCGGAGCAGTCCCTATATACGTACTTTGGGGGCAAAGCATACAGTAGTTGGGTACATGGATCCTTGAACCCTAAACCCTTGTAGTAGTACCCTTAAAGAAACCCTTATGGTTCCCTTAAAGGAGCCCTACTTGGGCACATGGATGACATGGACCCCTAGGGGGAGTTCATACTGCCTGCCTGCTCAGCAGGATCCGTCATGAAGCCAGCCTTGCACCGAAACTAGGTTTTCTAGTAGTATCCGTTTGCACTTTTTCTTTTTGGGTTCCGTTCTTAAAGCCAAATAATTGGAAAAAGGGTACCCTTCTTATTAAGGGGCTACTCTGGAACCTAGGAAGCCTTAGTAAGCCCAGAGCCCAAGCTCTGAATCCTAGGCCGCTAAGCAGTGGGGTCCTTCGGATGCAGGTTCCCAAGCAGCGACACGCTGCCCTGGATTTTCTGAAGGCCCCCAAACCCTAAAACCTAAAACCCTTGTGGAACCCCTCAGTGAACCCTTAAGGCTCCAATTATTGAGGGCCCTATACCCCTGGATGCCTTATGGCACCCTTCAAAGGAATCCTTGAATCTGGATTCAAGGAGCCATGCGGGGGACCCCCAACCCCTTAAACGGAACCGAAGCAAGAGCACTTGGAGGTTCATGGGTAGTTATAAGGGGTTCCTTTAAGGGTCCCTTTAAAGGGATCTATAGGGCTTCTATGAGGGTATAGGGTTTAGGGTCTACTTGGAGGTTCATGGGTAGTTACAAGTAGAGCTATAAGTAGGGTAACTGTACTTAAAACCCATATTCGGGGACTTATAACCCTACTTATAACTACCCATGAACCCTAAACCCTATCCCCTTATGGAATCCCTATAGATCCCTTTAAAACGGCCCCTATAAACCCTACTTTATAACTACCCATGAACCTCCAAGCAGGCGGCTGCTCTACGCACACGCACGGACCTCCATGGACTTCTTCCCGCCCTTCTCGCTGCGAAGAAACTCGGTCGGGTTTCTGTATGCGTTGATCTAACAGAATCTTGAAGGATTCTATACGGGTGCGGGTCTTTGGGGTTATTTGGGGATTAGTGATTCTGGTTTAGGCTCAACCCGAAGCCCCAAAGTTGAGGGGTTGTAGAATTGGGGTTTAGGGTTTAGGGTTTAGGGTTTAAGGTTTAGGGTTTCTGGTCTAGTAGATGGAAGAGTTTAGGCCTGCTTCTATTTTTTGGAGGGAGTTGTAGGTTGTGTATTTAGGGCGAAACCCTAAACCGTAAATCCTAAGTGGCATTACAAGCAAGCATCGACAACTGAGAGCTTTGGGCCCGTGTCCGAGCCACTGCCAATTAATTGTGGGCAGAACTTGTGCCTCCTCATCTCTGTTTACATCTCCATGGCTGTCAATTCAACGTCCATTGGCAGCTCATCATTCAGTGTTGCAAGTCTATTGCGGGCTTCCGTTGGTACGTATATCAACAAGGCACAGTGCCCCACTCTCTGCGGATGTGCAGAGCGGCTCGAGTGAGTTCTCACAAAGCGTGACAATGGACAACGCGCGACAGTGCACTTCGGGTATGCCAGCCTTCATCATTTCGATGGCCACGTCTACCCGTAGTGACCAACAGATCCAAGCTTCTGGGCGCATTTTTATCGCTAGCTATCGCCGCAAGTACCATATCCATACCCGTAGACATATATATATATATATATATACATCTATATATATATATATATATATATATATACGTATACGTACATAATTTACATGAATGAGCCACATGCTGGCACCCACGGGTTCCTAAGTCCCAACCCCCGAGGCCGATAAACTCGAAGGCTCTCGCCCTTTTAGCCAGACCCCACCGGCTCTGAGCCTTAAACGCAAATAAAAGCGGAAGACGACGGAACCATGAAAGGGCCGGGTTTGTAGGGCTCGAAGCAAATCCCAAAAGTCACGGACACTACAGCCGAAACCCCAAAAAGACACCTCCAGCTCCTGTAAAGCATAAAAGCCTCGGACCATGAGAAGCCTTAGACCAAAAGACGCCTTAGACCCTCCATCCAAGCCGGGAGCCACTATGCATTAATGAATTCCCAAAGCCATATAGCTTCAAGGTTTGGCTTTAGGTTTGGGGTTTCGGGTTTAGGGAGGTCGAAGGACAGGCCTTGTGACGCCCGTTCAAAGATCCTAGAGCCTTCATAAACAATACTGTAAACCCACACAAGCGCCCCAATAAAGCTCTTTTGTCCGCAGTAGCATGCAGAGTTAACCCTTCACCGTAGCCCCGGCCCTAGAACTCTGAATCCAATTAAGCCTTCAATCTTGGACCCTAAACCCGAACCGCCCCCCCTTCAACCCTCAAAGAAGACAAGACCCTAAACCCTAAACCCCAAACCCCCCAAAAAAAGAAGACAAGATGAACATCCGAGGCATTCATGTGCACCTGCCGTGGGCCGAACGCACGTCGAAGCCCAAACGCGCGGCCCTGATCTCGCCGAAGGCTCCGACAGCTCTCGGGGCCTTTGGACGCAATTTCACGGAAGATGGCAGATAGCCCCGATTAGGGTATGTATTACTTACAGCAGTGTCAAATTTCGCGTAAGGATAGCACCGTTTAGGGTACTTATTGCTTCTAACAGTGGTTTGATTGAACCTATCTACTAAGTCTGCCGAGCCTCTGACTACACTTACCCGTGTAGAGGCCTCATGGCAAGTTCGGGATAATGGCCCAGGCAGAGTTTAATTAGTTGGCGCCTTGGGGTGAAGGAAGGCTTGAGCGTCTAGTGACAGGTTTATACAGGTCTCAGGGTTCCCTCAAAACTTAAATTCTGAAGTCTTATGGACCTAAATCCTGCGGGTCTAATGAGGTCGAACGGTTAGTGACGCAGGAAGATGGAGCTTGGTTTTATAGAGTTGCAAGGTGCCAGCATGTCGCATGAAAAAGAGATCGTGAGGGTTAGCTGCGAAACCTAGACCCTAAATCCGAACGAACCCTGAAACCTCGACCGTGTAAGGTGTAGCAGTCTCTGGGCTTATGGACGGGAATTTAGCGTTTAGAGTGCAGGACTTGGCGCCAGGATTAGTTATCGACTCAGTCACTTTAGGTTGCCGATTCAGACTCTAATTCAGACTGCAACAAGATTGTAGCACCGACGGCCAACCAAGCGAACTGGAGCATCTGAGCGTATGGGATTTCATAGACACGACCTATGGGCTAAAACCACCAAACCGAGCAGCACATTCCTGACTCTCAAGCCTTGGACCATGCTAACCTCACTTCACTAATTTGCACACTTAGATATCGCAAAACACCTGGCCAAGCCTTGAACAGCCAGTTCATCGTTGATGCCAGCAACGTCTTGGAAGCGCGCGGCGAGTTCCACATCGTCTCCTGGCAAAGCTTAGGACACAACGCCAGATTGTGCGTTAGGGTTTAGGGCTTGGAGTTCAGGCTTTACAGTTCTAGATGTAAGGGTTTAATTAATCAGGGTTAATTCAGGTGAACCGGAACTACTAACTGCGAATCTTCGAAGGAACAAGTTCTAACAGGAGTGGGAGTGGCGCCAGAATGCAGAAGGATAGTTCTGCTTAGTTCTACTCCCAAAGCAGTGTCATAAGAACAACGGAAGCTGCAGCATGTTTGGCGGTTGGCAGCACAACTACACGTTATGTTGCCATCGCAGCACAAACAACGACCTCCGCAACACTAGTGGCAGCAGCAGCAAGTATGCAGAGTGACAGCAGTTTCCTGATGTTCTAGACGAATGACAGCAAGCAACGACAGCAAGAGCCACGTGAATAGTTTCACCAACAACAGATGAATAACTGTAGTAGCCAGCGTCTGGAGTATCCACGCTGGCAACAGCAACAACAGCAAATGCCAACTGTCTACACCACTAGTAACAATTGACAATAGCATAGGTGACGCCGGTGGTTGCATGCTCACTAGCACCAGTCGCTCATCAGCCACAATGGCAACACTGGCAGCAGTCGAGACGGTAAGTAAAAGAAATGCACACAGTGTTATGGGTAAGCAGAGCACTAAGACTGATGAGGCACAACAATAGGTCACACAAAGCCGGCAGTACTGTTTCCAAGACGGCAGAGGCACTTTACTCTTGGTCAGGACAACACGACTGACAATGCCATGCAGAGTACGCTATTGGTCAGTAAAGGCAAGTGGTTAATAGCACTTAGTACCACAGAAGGAGTGCCCACAGTATCAGGGGAGTTAGAAACGCAAAGCCGCACCAGTGACATTTAGTGTCAATAGCAAAACACAGACTAGTCATAAGCACATCTAAACTGCCAACACAACCGCAAACGAGGAGCAACATCCGGATTAGCAACGGTTATCGCCAACGAAAGCTACAGCCTTGATGTAGCACCCGACTTGAACAACTGGCGACGATGAAGAGGGACACAATTAGTCAGGACGCGGTGAGTACATAGCATAATAAAGAAACAAGACCAGGCAAAGGCACGCACACACACACACACATGTACTTACATATCTATATATATATATATATGTATGCATGTGCAGACATACTCATGCCGGTCATGCTGCATGCAGAAACATTGCCAGTAGATTCGATGCTGAAAGGCATAGTGCTGCTGGCAACAGCCGTTGAAGCCTCGGTAGTGACAGGTTGCCGATGACGAAGAGCTCATGCAGCAGGACAGCTCTCGTATTTCGGGTTTATCAGGCTTTGAGCTTACTTGGGGGGTCGGGGGACTTAGTAAGTAGTTAGTAAGTAGACTTGTAAGTACCCTAAAAGGGACCCTAATTGGGGTTATGGTACTTATAAGTCCGAAAATAACCAGTTACTAAGTCCCCCACCCTCCCAAGTACAGGCTTTCCCCAGGTTTGAGGGCCGTTTAGGGTTTAGGGTTATACCTAGTCAGCTATTGCCAGCTTCATCGCCTTTGGATTGATTTCGATTGAGGTTTTCAGGATCAACAAAACTAACCCCAACGGTTTGCCTTAGCTTGTTATGCTATCTAATGGCCTAGCGCAGAGCTTACAGACCCCATAAACCCCCTACCCGCAGCTGGCAATCCCAGCATCGGAATACAGCATCTTCATTGGCGGTCGACTTGGGGAAACCCGAACACCTGAACCCTAAACCAGAAGCCCTAAACCCTGAACCCTGAGCCCTAAACCCTAAACCCTGAGCCCTAAACCCTAAACCCTGAACCCTAAACCCTCAACCCCTAAACCCTCAACCCTAAACCCTGAGCCCTAAACCCTAAACCCTGAGCCCTAAACCCTAAACCCTAAACCCCTAAACCCTAAACCCTGAACCCTAAACTTCGCGTTTGCAAGTCCAGGCTCCTCTCGGCTCGACCCTCTTATGGAAGTTCCGGGCCGGGTTTGAAGCCCGAAACCTGAACCCTGAAGCTTGAATCCCTGAGCGGTTTAGGGTTTAGGGTTTAGGGTTTAGGGTCCTATGAACTCGAACTCTAGACCCCACATCCTACATTCAGATCCTAACCTCAAAGCCCCAAACTCGAAGCCCAATACCCTACCTTAGACTCCAAACTCCAAACTCTAACACCCCACAGCCTACGTTCAGATCCTAACCCCAAAACCCCCAAAATCGAAACCTAAAACCCTGGGCATCAGAATAGCCCAAAAGCCTCATATAGTATGGTCTTGGGCCCAAAAGCCTTCATACATGAGTCCTTAAAGCCCTAGGGTTAGACTCCTTTACCCCAAGAGTCGAGCTTGACAGACGCCCGTCAAGGCCTGCGCATGCTTGACGAAGAGTCGGCTCTTTGGACCCAGCTTGCCGTTTCCGTTCCACGTAGAAGGCAGGGTAGGTTGGGGCGGTTAGGGCTTGTGGGTATAGTATCGGTAGGTTGTGGCGGTCAGGGGTTATAGGTTTAGGGCTTAGGGTGTAGAGATATAGTGATAGGTATAGTGTGGGTAGGTTAGGGCGGTTAGCGGTTATAGGTTTAGGGTTTGGGGTGTAGGGTTATAGGTATAGTATAGGTAGGTTAGGGCGTTTAGGGGTTCTAGGTATATTATAGGTATGTTCTAGCTTGTCATTGTATACTACAGTATTTTAGATATATTATCTTGGTTAGGGTTTACGGTTTCCGGTTCAGGGCTTTCTGGGTGTTCGTCAGGAAGTTTCAAAGTACAATCTTAACGGCTATTAACAATACTTCTATTATTGTTTGCGGTGTCTGAGGGCCTTGTATGATTGAGTGAGTACTTAAAGGCTCATGGGACTTAGTAAGTAAGCTTATAAGTAGGTTATAATTAGGATAACCCCACTTAGGGGACTTATAACCCCAATTATAACCTACTTACTAAGTCCCATGATCCTTCAAGTATGATTGAGTGAGTAGGCTCTAAGCAGAAAGCAGTCAAAGACTCTACCGGGAGGAACCAATGTACTTTTAACAACTGGATATGACCCTAAAAATCGGTGCTCTTGCTTGTTTTACCAGTAGGCACGTAGGTTACTACACTCTGATTGAGCACGGATTGTTCAACGCAATGAGTCGAACCTCATTGGTCAGGGGCGCTATGCCGCCCAACCAGCCAAATGCATTGGCAGATCTGTGGTTGCGGATTGCTCTGCCGATTGAGATGGCTCGACGATTGCTATCCCCACAAGGATTGGACGTTGCTCGATTCAAGTGCCATCAATTGAATTTCTCATTGACACCATGGAACGCGTTCAGCAAGCTCATGCATTGGTTCCGCCAGAATGTGATTGGATGGTCCATTGAACACACCAACATTGGACTTATCCAATTGAAGATGAGAGCAACCAAATTGACAAGTGAGATGAAGAATGTCTCCGGCAAAGGTGGCCAATTGAATTGGCACAACATCTCGTATATTGGTTGCAGCTATATGACGATTGACAACCATGCTGCGAATGGGATTGCGACATTGCACCCGGAAGAAATCAGCAGCTCATTGTGCTGGGAACTTCCGATTGATTGCCAATCCTTCTTCCAACTGTACCACATGGACTGTTGGATTGACAGCTTACCGTCAGCTGCATGGCATTGAATCGCCATTTGCGGATCCCATTCTCGATTCGCAACGCCGTCATTGGCGAAGCTTCCCTATTGTCCGCTGCTGGACAAGAGGAGCTGATTGAGAGCGACGACTCGGAGCGCGATTGCCACCCGGATGGCAGAACGCGCATCATTGTCGAGTCCGGATCTACTGTCTGGATTGGACCGACCCAGAGATTGGCACGCAAGCGAGACAGCCATCGCCATTGAGAAAGTAATTGCAGATCACCAGAATGCCATTGCCACAGGCAAGTCTGATTGTACATACCGACGCAGATTTCTGCTGGATGACAGTACAGTCATTGACGAGCTCTAAGCATTGACATCTACAATTGCTTTTGAGATTCTAGCATTGGTGGACACAGCACAAGTGCAGTGTCCAAGGAACCGTGTTAGATTGTAGCATCAGTTCACCACTGCCTCTGTACACATTGGGCCTTTGGCTCAAGGCACATGATTGATCTGATTGCTCGTGAAAAGATCGTCGACCGAGTGATTGCATTCTGAAGCTGATTGCATCTGTGCTCGTGCATTTGATTGTTGCTTGCATACGGCATTCCAGCGAAGCTCACAAATTGTTCTTTGAATTTTTCATTGAAGCCTTCGACCCTTGAACCGCCCCCTCCCTTCAGTCCATCCTTCAAGCTCCCCTTCAAGGGTCCAACCCTTCAGACCCTTCAAGGGGGGCTTGAAGCCCCCTTCAAGCCCGTCTTCGTCTAGCTGAATGCGAAACCTCATTCAGGATTCAAGACAGGAGTGGCTTGAGCGTTTGGTGTACAGGCCTCTACCTCGCTTTCAAGTCTCATGGGGATTTGTTTGAGGGTTTAGGGCTTCGGGCCTGGGGTTTGGGGCTTAGGGTTTAGAGTTTGGTGTTTAGGGCGTCAGGGTTTGCTTTTTAGAGCTTTAGGGTTTAGGGTTCTGTGTGAACTGACAGGCTGCTACTGCTAGTGACCCAATTTTACAGTAACGGCCACATACCTGAGATGACCCCCCTCGTTAAAAGCCTAAGCCAACTGCCCTGAAGTCCGAAAACGGCTGAAGTCCTCAACCACTGAGCCCAAAACCCCAACTGCCTCAACACTCAGCCGTCTTTCTGGGGTTTAAGGCAAAGCCCCAAAAACCGGAACCTCGAAGCGTGACCTCCGCAATTGAGAGGTTTGCCGGCCAGCTATCCGGGAGAAGATCGTCTACGAGCCGACCAGCAGATTGTCACTGGGAGGACACCTTGCCTTTTAGGTATGCCAGCGTAGAAACGCCTAAGCCCTAACCCCGAGCAGTGAAAGCACACCTCGCAGCTTAAACCCGACATTCCCCAAGAACCTCCTCGATCAAGGCTCCAAAAACCACCCCATGAGTCCAAAGAGTAGTATGCTATATGGGAGTTTCCGAAAATAGGGGACCCTAATATAGTACCCTAAATAGTAGGATCCTTATTATAAGGACCCCAAAATAAGGTAGCCCCTATTTTCGGAAACTCCCATATACCATGTTTCTTCATTCAGGGTCTCTATTTGATAGTAGGACCCTCGACCGGAAGGGACCCTAAACCGGAAGCCCTGGACACCGGAATCCGAAGGCAGGCTAGGTTGGGGGTTATAGGTTAGAAGGGGCCCCCACCCTGTAGTAGTGACCACAAGGATTATATAGGATTATATTGGGGCCCTCTTATGTTCCTGTTATGCCACTATTACAGGGTGGGGGCAGCTTCTAAGTTATAGGTACATTATCGGAATATTCTTATTATATGTAGAATGTAACGGTATATTAAATGGGTATGTTAAGAGTTTAGAAGACTTTGTTTTTAGGGCTTATAGTGTTGCTAAGGTTCACTGAGCCCCAACGACCCCAAACTAGGATTTAGGGCAGAATTGGTTTACAGGCCCTTGTGGTGTGTGGGCCCTATACCATCCCGTAAAAAGGAGCCTCAATACTTACCCATATGGTTCCTTAGGGTACCCTGTTATGAGATGGTCATGGGTATACTAGAATATGCCCTCAAAGCAAACCCTAAACTTACCCTAAACCCTAATACTATTAGGGCCCCTATGGTAGGGCCCAAGGCCCCAAGCGCTGCAGGTCCTAAACTGTCCTAAGCCCGCAAGCCTAAACAGCAAAAGTCTTGAAGCTTACACCACAAGCCTGAAAGCTTGAATCCTCAACCCTAAATACTAAACTCACCGGACCCTGAACCCCTAATCCTCCACCCCAATCCTAAATCCTAAACCCTACACTGCCCTACGCCCGAAACCGCAAGCCCTAGAAACCCTGAATTAAAACACTAACTACAGCCAAAACAGCGCATCCGAAACCTCTTCAGCTGCAGCAGCCAATCACAGAGGAAGTCGAGCTCACCACTGTTCTACAGCGCGTGGGAAAAGCCATGCGGCTGCAAGCACTGGGGGCTTTACGAGGATTGAAACGTTCTTGTTTACGATCTTTATACCGGTGTTGTATCGCTTCAGGGTCCAGGGTTTAGGGTTGCAGGGGATTTTGTAAGTAAGCAGTTTACAAGCAGAGGTTCGGCAAGGTTGGACCGGGGTGTACTACCAACTCTGCAATCCGAAATCCCCAACCCCAAATCCAAAACCCTGTGTCCTAAATCCTGATTCATATTCATAGAGTTTGGGATCTGTCTAGCGTGGAGCAAGTGCCCTACGTCGGGGTAGCCTCCCCTCCTGTTCCCAAATGTAGGGCGGTGGGTTTAATTTCAGAGTCTATAAGGTTTGTGATAAATTCTGCAAGTGTTTGCGATGGTTGATGAGTGGTTTTAGAGGTTCTGCGATTGTTGGACGAGCCTAATAAGAGCTCATGGTGTTAGTCTTGCCCGCTTTAAAGTTTTAAGAGTTACTACACGAGCTATCTTGTGTTGCCTTTGTGCATGTCTAGATGTATCATAGTTGCGGCTTTCCATAATATGGTTTTCGAGGGTGGGCTTTCTGTCGTCATGTTGTCCTCTGTGGTTCCTGCGCTGCTTTACACAGGGCTTTGGACCCTATCCTAAACCCCAAATGCTGGACTTCAGACCTTTATACTCTCTCTGGTCTGTGGAGATTGCCCAAGAGCGGGCCCGATGTAAGACATTCCTCAACGGGGTCAGGCAACTTGCTGTCCGAAAAGCTGCACCCTTGGCATGCGGAGCAGCTGGTGCAGTGGGAACTTTTCCACCGGTCGGAGGCGGCATTCCGACGCACTGTTGCTGAGTCAGAGCCTGCGCAGGAGTTTTTCGCCATCGCTCAATTGCATGGCCGTGGCCCAGCAATTCGACCGCGGGGTTGGCCGAAGAAGCACTCGGCCAAGTCGGGCGAAAGCCAAATCTGTGTGGACGTCAAATTAATGAAGAACTTCAAACATGTATGGTCTTGCCATACAACCCGGCCAAAAGAAATTGACAACGACACTGAGACTGCGAACCTTCAACACCAAGTTGGCACCCCTAACAACCCTGAAAGAAGGAAGGTTGAACCCCGATGTCTTCCCTAAGTCCCTAAGTATGAATATCCTTTCGGGATGTATCAAAGCCCGGCTCAGACCCTGGAGGCCCTACTGTAGGGGCTAAAAGAATACCAGTGCTATGTGTGGGGGTCCCTTTGATGCGACTACATTATGGAGGAGCCCCAGACCCTATTCTGATAAAGCTTCACAGAACCCTTGTATTGTAGTTCCCCCTAAACCCTCGTAGAGCCCTAAACGCTAAAACCTAAAGCCCAAACCCTATGAAGCTTTGCAGAACCTTTGTAGAGCCCTTAACCCTTCAAAACAAAACTTGTAGAGCCCTACACCCTAAACCCGAAGCCCTAAGCCCTATGAACCCTTGTAGAGCCCATAACCCCAAACCCTAAACCCTAAGCCTTAAACCCTGAACCCCAAACGCTAAACCCTAGCCTAAACCTGAAACTAGAAACCCTAAACCTTAAAGCCTAAGCCTTAAACCCTAATCCCAAAGCCCTCAACCCTCAATCCTAAACCCTAAACCCTAAGCCCTAAACCCTAAACCCTAAGCCATAAACCCCACAGCCGTCAGAGCCCAAAAACCCCAAAATTCTTTGAGCTCCAAGGCGGCCGCCACAACATCCGAACTTCCGCTTCAAGGGCGGAGCCACGCCGACGCTCCTCGAGGACGGGTTCAGGGTGTGGGGTTCAGGGTTTGGGGTTTAGGGTTTAAGGTTTAGGGGTTAGGGTTTAGGGTTCAGGGATGGGGTTTAGGGTTCAGGGTTTCGGGGTTAGGGTTCAGGGTTTGGGGTTTGCGGGGCTTTCCGGTGTTTCTACGGCTTGTTTAGATGTTCCAGGGGTCCCATCAGGGCTCCGAGGGGGTTCAAGGAGGCTGTGGATAGTCGGGGAGCATTATAGGGTCTTGGTGGTTTTTTCGTAGTTGTTAGCAGGTTTGGTAGTCTCTAAGTCTTTTTCAGGTCATCACAGGGTTTGATAGGTTTTTTTTTTATGGTTTTAGTATAGGATGTTTGTAAGCTGCAAGTGGTAGATTTTCTCAGGGCTCGGGGCTTGGGGGGCTTCGGATTTCGGTGGGTGTTGGGCATTATTGAGGTGACCCGACTGTCTTGGGGGTTTCGTGTTATTCTTCAGCATTTTGGAGATTTAGGGCTGAATGAAGTATCATGTTTAAAAACTTAAGGTGTAAGACCGAAGGATAGGGTTGTTACAGTTTGGGGGTTTTAGGGCTGAAGGCTTTGGCTTTTGGCGTTGGGAGTTTTGGAGGCTTTGGGTTCGGGAGCTTGAGGTGGTTTAGGGCTATGGGGTCTCTAGGAAAATTTGGTGGCTTATGGGTTCGGAGGCTTCTGTCTGTCGGCTCTTCCGCAACGGCTGCGCTTGAGAACCCCGAGACTCTAGACCCGTCAATCGTTTTCAAGGAAAAATTGTGATAATCGGGTCTCCTGGATTTTTGGGTTGATCGCTGAAGGAGCTGCAGAAACCGAGAGAGGGAGGGGGGAAAAAACAGACAGATAGCAATAGAGGGAGATACTACAAACATGAGGCCAGGACACAAGGTGACAAGGTGTTTAGGGTTTCTACTGTCGGGCTCTTGGAGGACCTGCAATAGGTCTTGCATTTTAAGAGATTGGTTTTGGAGGGATCTTCGTTTTTTCTTGCGAGTTGGTGTTTCCAGGTGTTGGCTAACTGTTGGGTCGGTTCAATATGCGAAGCTTGTGACGGCGAGGAGTAGCTTGCTTGATGTGGGGCGGTCACTTCTGCTGCCCTGCAACTGCAGAAGAGATGGGTTGATGGCTGACTCGCACTACGGTTGATGGTATAAGTTCTGCATTCCCTTAAGGACCCGAAATTATGGGAATTATTGTATGTTCCTTATTATGGGTCATGCAGGATTTATATCATCAACCGTACCGAAGTAGCTAAGCCAGCTAGTTGGATCCGCATCAAGACCACATAGGCCCCGTAGCCCAAGCCCTCAACCTTAGCCGGTTGAATCCTCAGGTTTTCTCTCGAATGGACGGATCTAAATGCTCTGGGGCTGTTTGAATATCTGAAGCACGTTGGGGGCTTCGTGTTTAGGGCATATAAGATTTTGAATGGGGCTTTCCAGGTCTGGATATTGACAGGACTTTCACATCATGTCCCTTACCATCTAGCCTCTGCTTTCGGAGAACCAGGACATCGTCATGCGATACAGAACCATAGTAATGTTTTCCAACGCGTTCCGTCTAGTCTGATGCAAGCTCGTAGACAGCTGAAACTTAGTTAAGGGAAGGCTCTCCGGGTTGCTGTTTTGAACTTCGGTATTCCTAGACACATCTGTCTTAACAAAGTTTTGAGTTCCGGGAACCCACATATACTACTTCCAGCGGAAACTGCATCCCAAGATACTATGCCACATCAGTTGTTCCAGAAAGTGCACCCCGTTGCATTTACGTAGCATGTTATGCTCCTGTTTTAAAAGGCTGCTCTCTCCGGTCATCCATACTCTAGGCCCAAGAGTCCCTACTTGGAGGGTCGGGAGACTTAGTAACTAGTTATTTTAGGGACTTATAAGTACCATAACCCCAATTAGGGTCCCTTTTAGGGTACTTATAAGTCTACTTACTATCTACTTACTAAGTCCCCCGACCCCCAAGTTGAGTTAGAGTTCTTTGCGGATTTTTCAATATCACGCTGCCCACGGTGAAGCAAGTACTAGTGGGCAAAGTCCTCAGCTGAAATGTGAGGCTCATAGGCTATCGAAAGTAGGTGTCATCAGAGGGGTCTCGATAGCCATTACAGTATTGGTTTTGCAGGGTACTATCATAGCCTACTCCTGGGGACTAGTATTACTGCCTACTCTGGCTTGTGCGAACTAATAGGCGATCATACAGTCGCTCAGGCGCACCGACGAAGTGCAGCTGGTCGGCTCAGCCTTCCATTGCATTCCGTATCAGTGCCATGGCTTTTTTGGGGGTGTAGGGCGCAGAGGTGCGGCGTCAGTCGAAGTTCCAGCGTTTTTCGTGGTTCTGATACATAGAGGCACTGTTACAAGAAATCATGTCCTCTCAGAGAAACATACGAGATATGACGCACAGTATGTAGGACTTCGTGTTATGATTAGAGAACAGTGAGTAATTCAGCGGCAGTCGGCTACCAGGATTTGGAAGGTTTGTCTCTGTCATATGCTGTGCAGGTCTGGGCGCACCAAACACCACCGACGAGCATCTCCGGTGCCTGCTGTCGCCGGCGGCATCTCCGAAGCCGACCGTGGCCAACTTCGGACCAGACAAGGCCAATAGTCGCCAAAAAGACATAAGCAAATTGGGATAAGGGTTTCCCACATAGACCCGCTTATGCTGAAGCCCACTAAGGGCGTGACATCCTTGTAACATGCTTATGCCTACCTCCCTTTTTGGTCCCCTGGGTAGTACTTACGAGAAGGTTCTTAAGTAAGATACTCCGTGGTGTTAAGAAAACCCCAAACGCTTCTCAAACGCAAAACCTCCCTTCATGATTTCTGAATCTGCTCTCCTTGCAGCGGCACGGGTGGAGTCAGTTGGATCCTTAAGAGCTTCGTAAAGAAGTTCTTCCTTGAGTTCTGCAAGGCCTCGTACTGTTTCCCAGAGGCTTGAGGGCTCTGTGGCCTGGGGCAATTACTAGGACCTAGAGTAGGCCTTGTTTTTTTAGGGTTCAGGTTCCCTTATAAGCCCCTTTAAACCAAAACGGGCACCTTTTTCATTCCCAGGTTACTCTTGGGTCTAAATTATAGGTGGTTGCAAGCACCTAAGGAGAGAGATACTTATAGTCTCCGTTTTAGTTCCTGCTTAGGGGAAACCATTATTATGGTCAGGACCCTATAATCAAAATTTGGTTAAACCAAACATTGTAACCACAATGACTACAGGTAATTTTTGTGCTGCTCAGCAGCCTTCAAACACCCGAACCATTTGTGCACAGGACACGGATTTTCAGGGTTGTGTTTAGGTTTTCAGATGTCTAAAGCTTCGAGATACGGCTTTGTTAGGGTGTTGGATTCAGAGCCCCTGAAGCTTCATGATTTCAGGGTGTGTGGGCTGAGCGCTTGAGAGCTTCTGGTGTGGATTTTGGGTTGGCTGGGCTTACTTGCAGCCTTCCCCTTCCCTCTAAGACTGGAGAAGCCCCATAGTCTAAGGTACAGACTTGCGAACTCTCCAGAATCTTTCCTGCTTCCCCGTGTTTACGTTTTGACTGTGACCTTGAATGCCACCGCATGCAAACTTGCCCGTTCTCATGCCAGGCTTGTGCCACTGTTCCGCATCAAGAACACTGCGAGTGATGATTCTGATGACTAGAAACCCTAGGTTCCAAACCTCAAGCCACAAAGCCACGAAGCATCGTAAAGCCTTAGCCCTATATGACACCAGGCCTTCAGCGCGACGTCCCCGTGCAACGCAACGTGATCATTGCTGCAAACTAGAGCAGCGACATGAGCAAATGATGTCTCCGCAGCAGTGTGCGAAAAAGCGTCTTGTGCGGTTCATGTACGTAAGACGCAAGGATTTTCGAGCACACCGTCATTCCGTTATTGTAGAGTACTTGAGCTTCTAACAATCTTGGGATGCCACGGGATCCACAATCTAAGACGCTCCAGCCTAGACTTAGACCCTAAAGCCTGAACCTTGAACCCTAGGCCCTACAAATGATGGGGTCCCACCTTACGAACCTCGACAGGGTACATTTGATGTGGAGAAACTCATCTGCACACCCTCCCAGCCAAGTCTTGCAGAACATCACTGGAAGGTTGGGTCCAATATGACTGTTGAAGTTTAAGGACGCTAAACCCTGAATCCCAATAAGAAGCAGTCTCCAGGAATGGTCCCTAAACCCTAAACCCTACACCTTGAACACTTGTCTCCCAAAATTGATTCCCGAAGATCTATAAACTCCGACACCTTCGGGGCCGAAGGACATAAGCTGTGCTTCATGATATCGGGTTCGGATTCAGATTATTGTTTTCAGACGGGGTTTGGGGTTGGCGTAAGTCTCGTGGTCTCTGCTTGGAGGGTCAGGGGACTTAGTAACTGGTTATTTTCGGGACTTACAAGTACCTTAACCCCAATTAGGGTCCCTTTCAGGGTACTTATAAGTCTACTTACTAAGTCCCCCGACCCCCCAAGTGGTTTAGTTCGCAAGTTACGTCAAGTTCGGCTTCGGCACTGTCTTTGCAATGTATGTAGATGGGTTCCATACGGGCTTCTACGGGTTCCATCACGCCTACGTAAAACCCCAGAGGACGTGAACCCAAGCCCGAGCCTTTTAGAGCCAAGATACTCTAAGTTTAGGGTTTCGGGTTTAGGGCTCTCATATAACTTATGAGTGCGACATGGAACTGCAGCAAGGGATTCTCGCAACTTAAATCACGACTCCTTTACAAGAAATCGAAAGCAGACGACATGGCCCAAAAACCAACGCGCATCATCACGGTTGGTTTAGTGTAAGGGTGAGCCAGACCGTAGTCGTAGAAGGCATGAGCCGCAATTTTCTCTTTGCCACAAGTGCGGTGAGTTCGACTATATGCCGAAAGCCCTAAATCAATCCCTCAGGCAAAATTGCACGTCTCCTACATGGTGATGTTGGGCATAGCCAGTAATCATTGATAGTCAATCCTGGAGTCTTTACAGGCCCCAGCCGTGCCGTTGCAGTCCCCGCCATTGCAGTACTTGGGGCGCCGCAGGGAACTCAGTGGGCACGTCGGATGTGGGCGTTCCATACGGGTTCTACAAGGGCTACATAGTATGGTGGTTCTGTCTGGGGTACATATTTATATGGTGTTGGGATTCTATATTGGGGTATGTGCTAGGTGTTTGGGGTTCAACATGTATTGAGAGGCTCAAGGGTGCTTCTGACTAGTATTCTGCAAATAAAACAATGGTAGCTACAGTCTACGGAGGCTTGCAGCTCAATCTGTGCATGTACCAATCTGTTCATGGGCCCTTAAATCCTAAACCCCCAGACCCTAAACCCTAAACCCTCAGACCCTAAACCCTAAGCCCTCAGACCCTAAACCCTAAACCCTCAGACCCTAAACTTTAACACCCCTTACCTTTTCCTCGCCCCTCTTAGAGGACCAAAAGATCCTCGGGCCCTTGAAGGGTCGTTTAAGGCTTCCTACTGTTGATGATAAAAACCTAGGGTTCCCTTAAAGGGATCTATCAGAGTACCTTTAAAGGGCTCCTTTAAGGGATCTATAGGGGGGCTTAGGGTTTAGGGGTTAGGGTTGTTGATGATATAAACCCTGCATTACCTTAAGGACCCAAAATTCTGGAATTATGGTATATTCCTTATTATGGGTCATGCAGGATTTATACCATCAACCGTAGAAGGGTTCCTTAAAGGGTTCCTTTCCCAGAGGCTCCATATATCGTACCATTATGGAATTAGGTCCCAAAAGACCATCCATATCATGGCTTCCTTTAAAGGCCACCCCCGCGCCTCCCCAATCACAACGGACGTGAAATCCGAACAGCGGATGCATATTTACTGTTTTATAAAGCCTTACGTCGCTTGTTTCCTTCCGCCCAGGAGCCTTTACACGTAACACGTTGATCAAGCCCTATGAATCCTTGAGCCATTGTTCCTAAACCCCTTGTGAACTTTATGGAATTTACAACGGTTTTTTGAAGAAAATCGGAAAACCCTAAACTTTAACACCCCCTGACACCCTAACTAAGGCCTTCTGACAAGCGAAAAGACCTTTTAGAGCCTTTG